CTGTACTGTAGTCAGTGCACACATGTGCTTTAACTTATTGCCATTCACTGCTCACATCTCCAGCTGTACACATACTGTAACTTTCACTTAACATCCTTTATATTACTCCTAGAGTTATGTGCTGTGTTTGATGTATATAAGAACATCCTTTTTCTATATTTTATCTCATGGAATTTAATTTTATGTTGACAGCTGCAATAAGACAAATTCTTTGTACATCTTATACTTGGCAAATAAAGGTTCTGATTCTGATCAGTTTTGTTACCTTCCTTTCACATGTACTTTTTTGTGTTGTGAATTATTTCTAATTATTATGCCCACTAGCTTCAAATGTAATTTTCATTCTCCTGCAATAGAAGCTGGCTCTACATGAAAGATGTAAAATGCTCTTACATAGTGCATTAGCTATTTCCTGAAACCAGAGTGTTAAAATTAGATTTGTTACCACACTCAGCTTAACTAACACCCACATACCTAGCGGAAAATTATGCAGATGTGCCTTTTTATAGTCAAACTCTCTGAGTGCATCATCTGGAAATTACATGGTGGGAAGCTTTATCATTAGTACAGACATCTTATTCATCTCTAATATTAGGGCTGGGGCAATTAATCGAAAAGTAATCAAAACTGACATTCAGAAACTGTAGCCGACGTAATCTTACCCATGTCAGTTATTTTGATTTTTTTGAAAATTCTGTTACTCCTTTCCCCACTCTGTGTGTTCATGTACTGTCCCCTTAACACTTACTACCGCGCATGTAGTCACGTGACTCCACCACGTCCAGTCTGCGACATTGGAAGCTAAGGCTATGTTCACACTGCAGGTAAAAGTGGCCCAAATCTGATTTTCTCACCAAATCTGATTTTTTTTTGTTTGGCTGTTCACATTATCCTTTAAATGTGATCTGTATGCGGCATCAGTCTGAACAGATCAGTTCCTAAACTGACCCACATGAGCAAAAGAACAAGGCATCACGTTGCTTTACAAGGCTCATCCAGAGGTAAACAATCCTGACTATGAACGAACGCCAGTCGCTCCCGCAGGGTTCAGTTTCATCTTCGCCAGCAACACAGGAGCCATCATGAAACTTTACTGACTGACACCTGGGCTCATCACCCAGAATGTGTTCGAGCTCGACGTAAAAAGGCCGCGGTCACTTCTTTGACTGGTGTCCTCAGATTCTTTAAACTTTGATTTTAGACTTTAACTGTTCTTTTACGCTGCAGCCTCATTCTCCTGCAGCCGCGTTCAGACATTTCTTTTGAAATCCCTTCAAACATAGAGGTGTTTTGGATAAGTCTCTAATTTTTGTACACAAATATCACCCCAAATGTTTATGAGGTCTCAGCAGCGCAAAATTATGATGAATGTCAAGTTGGACTGAAGTAAAAGCCACATGAATTCCGATCTGGCTGTTTAGACGATTTACATTGAGATATGCAGAATATTTACAGTACAAACCTTGTCAGTGAACTATGAGGGCAAAAACACAAAACAAAAAAAACGTTCATTAATCTTAATAGAGGTAAAATATTTTATTAATCGTGATATTGATTTGAGATCATATTGCCCAGCACTATCCAATATCATGTGTCTTTATATGCAAATTTCTGTATTTTATGCATTGATATCAACATATTACCAGTTTACTAGGCAAACCTGCTTTGCTCCTACCTTCATTGGTCATTTTACAAAGATATCAGGCACAAGAGAGTTACTGCAGTTTTAAACTTGGAGCATCTTGTCACACTTTTCTCACTTTATAAAATATTGTGGGATCAGTAAATCGTTATGTTACAAATTGCATACCAAATGAAAGAACACAGTATTCGGCATGTATTTTGTATTCATTACATCCTATTTCAGTACAGACTTACAAGTATTTAAATAGTGAGTGTGTGCTTGTGACAAGTCATTCCATCAGTAGGTAAGTTGTCACACTATGTGGAGTAAGACTTCACATTTGCAAGAAATAAAAACAATCAATTCATTGTTGGATTATTTTTGGATCTTTTTTTTGACTTCAAATTCAAAATTAAATGCGACTTCAGGAAAAAAAAAACTTGATTAATCATCGAACTTGACTGATCATTTATACTGGATGAGTCCAGGAGTGTGATAGAGCTTGTTAGAACAGTCCCAACTCCAGCAACTGGAAAATCATTTCAAACTTTTCAAATAAAACATTTCAAGCATTTAACAAAACTAGCAATTTTTATCCCAGGAGGTTGCAGCCTATCTGATCTCAGACTTCACTAATCAGATTCACTGTTAGAAACACAGTTCTGGCACATGTAAATTGCAAGGCATCACCTGTGACAACTTGCCCTAAAATCACTAAGACAAGCTGCCCCTAACTGCCATGTTTGCTAACGTTTACTCTTCTGTAGAGGTAGCTTTGTGCAGGACATTAGCAAAAGTATTCTCTCCTCTACTATACATAAATGTAGAATTGTTAAGAATTTAACTAGAAAAAAAATTACAAAAATGTAACGTTAAAATTTTTACGTTTTATGTGGAAAACGTCTAATCAGTGCTCACTCAGCTCACAGTGTATCTTGCCTTTCCCAGACAGGATGATAGCACACTCTGATGTTGGAAATATTAACAGGGTAACAACTTACTTGTGTGACAAGACCCCGGTTTCCCCTACCTTGCTGATACATCTTGTAGGAGTACAGTTGGAGATCATATATGTGGATGGTGGCATCAGTCCAAAGACAAGGACACTGCGGCCTACCAACAATCCTGAAAAAACAAAGATATGGACAAACAAATGACAATAAGCCTACAGTCAAACCTGACAAATCTAATACCAAACACAATAAGACTGTAAAAAATCTTTATTGCTTATTCATTCTGATAGTCCATTCAAAAAGTTTAAACTGAGATTCCACAGCGTTCCTCAGATTTAACACTACACTGACACTCAGCAGTGTTCCTCAGACTTAACGCTACTTTAAATCAACACTCAAGTGTTCCTCATCTTTAGCACTACTTTAAACTGAGACTCAACACTGTTCCTCAGATTCAACGCTACTTTAAACTGACACTCAGTGTTCTTTAGATTTAACACTACTTTAAACTGACACTCAACAGTGTTCCTCAGGTTTAGCACTCCTTTTGACAGTCACTGTATTTTTCTTCCTTAATATGATGTATTTCCGAGTGAAACAGGCTACTTGGACAGCAAATAAATGTGGGCGGAATATGATTTTATTCTTCAGGGCTTGATTTCTTTCTGAAACCCAATTCATTAATAGCTGAAAGCCTGATTTTAATCTGTATTTTTTTAATTTTTAAGATGTAGACGAGGCGAAGCGCCGGTTATTAGCCTCTCCATTACTTTTCTTACACTTTACCAGCAAAAGCAAGAGAAAAAAAGTCTTCAGGAAAGAAATAAGTCAGCTTAAAGAAGTACTTGTATAAGTGTACTTCAGTAAACATTTGGAGGAATTTTCCTTGAGCCGATGAGATGTTTCTATATACCTCACAATTCATTTTTACATCATTAATGAAGAGGAGTGAGCCAGTACCTGTGGCAGCCATACAGGGCCAGGCCATAACACTCCAACCACCATGTTTTTTATAGATAAGGACCAGGTCCTTTCCACCACTATACCTTATTCTTGCCATTACACTGATACAAGTTAATCTTGGTTTCATCTGTTCATATGGTATTTTTCAGAACTCTGTAGGCTTTTTAAGTTCTTTTAAGCAAATTTTAATCTGTTTTTGTGGCTTATTAGTGGTTTGCATCTTGCAGCGTAGCCTCTGTGTGTCTGTTCTAATGTTTGGCCGATGTCTCTGTCTTATTCTTATTTCTCTGCCTTATAATGGTTTAATTGACTTTCATTGGCACAACTATGGTCCTAATGTTGACAAACAGCAAAATCAGACTCCAAAGGTAACCAAAAGCTTAAACCTGCACTAATGAAGCAATTAAACAAACTTGAGTAATCACAAGCATTCAATAGTGATCCATGAATGCATGCTTGTAATATTTCTATTGCTAGTCATGTAAAATTTGAATAATCTAAACTCAATTTACTCTGTTTTTTTTGTTTCTGGTCTAGTCAAACTCTGCTGTCATGGTGCAAAGTCCCTGTGCAATATACAGGTCAACTGAGGCTTGCGGTGCTGCAGCTACATTTACTGTGAGACATTTACTGAGTTGCTTCTGCTGACCTATCCTAGAGGACATAAAGAAAAACACTGTCTGATGTTAAAATTAAACCCCAGCATGAAGCAGTAATCCATATCAGATTGACACATTTCCTGTTTACAGGCTGTTCTAAATCTGTTAAGATCTCAAACCCACAGCAGGTGTCACAGGTCGGTACACCACATTTTTAAAACATTTACTTTCACAAGTTCCAGTTTTCCTTCAAAACGCTAGGGACCAGAGCACACTAACCAAATATCCTACAACAGGAACAACACTCTGATGTCTGCAGTTTTTCCTTAGAATGAAAAGAAAAAGCACTGACCAGCCCAGAGGAAATGGACAGAGAACATTCTAGAGATTAAACAACCAAACAATTTTGGCCAACGTGCTCCAGATTTGAAAAAAGATGATTCTTCACTAGTTCTTTAGTAAAAGGAAAGGAATTATTTGGATCTCAGCTCTATTTAGAATCATTTCATGCTTTAATGGTTCTTTGCATGGTGAAATTGATCTTTAGAGTGATGGAAAATGTGTTGTATATGGATTTATATAGAATCTCTTTTAAAAATAGTTCTAAATAGCACCAAAAAGGGGTTCTTATTATTGGTGCTGTATAAAACCAGTTTGAAAAAGTTTCTATATAGAACCATATATTACACATTGTACCTCAATCTGAAAAAATGTTTGAGCATGCAGAGAACCATTTCAGGATGCAAAGGGTTCTTTGAGTGTTGATAGTTCTGTATAGAACCACTGTCTTTACTAAAGAACCACTGAAAAACCATCTTTTTTAACAGTATGATTTCAACAAAAAAAAACAAAAGGACTCCATAAGGGCAAACTGCACTCAGATTTATTCTGCTGAATGTTGATTTTATGATCATAAAACAATATTAAACAATCTTTAAAACACAATGTAGTAAAAACAATGATTGGTGCATTTTTAGGTCTGAGATTGGTCCAGATCTTCTCCTAGAATCTTCTAGTCTGAGAAAGAGTGAAGTGGTCATACAGAGAAGAGGGGGTATGAATTATCTCACAGACCACAGCAGAACACAAATCGTAAGAAAAATAAAAGATACATTCAGATTATAGCTATAATCACATAGATATATTATTACACACGCATTTTAGTTTAAGATGCAGTAAAAAAAAAAAAAAATAAAAAATTACAATTTATTTTGCAGTACGGTATTCCACTTCTATGAATTTCTCATGACATCAATTACAAGATTTCTTGGAGTTGAATAATGTTGAACCTTTTTATGATGCTAATATCCTGATTTAAAATGTCATTTATGTGTAACATTTTGTCTAGCATGTTATTAATAATGTGCTGTTTGCTCAGAAGGACTTGCTGATGTGCGTCACACCTATGTGTAATGCATTTGTGGTTCATCAGTGCTATAAAAATTCACCACAACCACAATGCACCACAGCAATGACAAACACCTGCTAAACACCTTAATGACCGCTTTTAGAATTGATATATATGTTAAGAACAAAGCTAAAAAATACACACATGTAACTATGAGAACATTATAAACAGTCTACTGAGTTTACAAGACAAATTCACATACTATCAATATCAATTTCCACTAATTTAACTGGTTAACTGATCTGATCTCACAGACACATAAGATGCTGTTAGGACATTAAGTGTAGAGAAAAACTATACAAGTCAAATTCTAGACGACTCTGAAGACTGTATTGTGGACAGTGGGGCAACACCAGCTGTTTACCTCAGACGTCTTGAGCTGTGTGTGTGTTTGGGGTGTCTGAGCTCTGTATCTGAGTCAGCTCTATGTCTTTTCTGTGCTCTGCATGTCTTTCTTTCTGAACCCTGAGGTCCTTCCTGTAGACCAACACACACAGCAGGGGGTCTGTGATCACTCTCAAACTCATCAGACAGAAATACATCACCAACACAGCTCTGTAACGCCACAGTAAAATACATAAGATGATGAACATTACATGCAGGATCACTGTGGATGTGACTAAAGCTAACACTGTAGAACTCGGCTTCTTGGTTCTGTAAGGCATGTCACTGATGTGAGGTTGAGCTCTACAAGTGACTATACATGATAGTGTTATAATTAAAAGAACAGGCAGAATCAATATTAGAAGATATATTAAACTCAACAGCTCACTAAGGAAGAAACAAATGAACACAATGATGAAGGTTATAATGGAGCAAGAAGGAAAGAAAACATGAGCAAAACAGTGTGGATGTCTCAAAGAGAGAGCATCCTCTAGAGCCACCACCTGTTGTAGGAGAAACCCATAGATCATTGATCCTGACCATAAACAGGTTAATATCCTGCATGTTGTGCTCGTCTCCCAGCAGTTTTTATTCTGCAACAATGTTGTCACTATGTATGGATTCAGAAGCAGCTCCAGCAGGTCGGGGGGAAGAAGCATGATGACCAAGGCTAAGATTCGGCCTCCACTCATTTGATGACGATACAGAACATGTAGAGCCCAAACTAGAGCTGGTAGACCAAAACACTCTGCAGCGATGAGGAAGACGGACAGTCTGATCTCACCAGACAGACTGTCTTGTTGAAAATCATCCCATGAATTTGAATGACGTGAGAATAACATATGAGCCATTGTGTTAAACACTGAATTATTTGTTGTTTCCTGTAATAAAAATGACAGGTGAAGAATGACTTTTTTAGCGGTGACCCATCTATCATGGTAAGAACTGTGTCAGCGCTTGGCTACTTACTGAAATGATGGACCGACTGTAGAGACAAGAATGGCTACCACACTAAATACACACAACCAAAAAAAGAGTCTGAAAACAACAACAACAACAACAACAACAACAATAACAGTATGATAGCTACTGTATCAACATGTTTATGTGAAATTACAGGTGTATGTGTGATTTGTTCTTACCTTTATTATTCAGCAATGAAATGTTGCTCTGAAAGCTCAGCAGAGAAAACCCTCACATCCTCTCTCTTTCATAGTGTCACTCAAATGAGAAGAAAACCAGGAACTGAGTCAACACAGTAAGGCAGCTTATGAAAACTCTATAAGACAAAATCTCTTTGATGTGACTCGGTTCATGATTGTTGTCCATCACTTTGAGCTTTAACTGAAGTATATGAAGTAACTCTATAAATTAGTCTATAAAATTAGTCTATAAAATCTCTTAATAAGGAATTCTACTAACACATTAAGTAGCAATTCAGAGCATCATTAATGAGACAAAAGTCAAAGAACCATCTCATGAACAAGGATATAAAAATACAACTATGGTCACAGAAATGCTGATGTAGCCTAAAAGGTTGGGGAAGTTCAGACAACACAATAAAAAAGAAGCAGGATGCACTTCTTAGAAAACTAACGCGTTTGTTTAACAAGTTAGCAAATGTGAACATAAAACACTGAGACGAAGAAACATGCATAATATTTCTATAACAAAATGCAAAAAAGGCAAGAATAAAATTAATTGTGTTTGCCTCCATAGTATTTGGAACATTCTCATAGTGTCAAATATGACTCAGTCTTGGGGAAACACAGCATGTACTGTCAAACCTTGAGTTTGAACACAAACAGCACGATCTGACCACTTTGCCTCCCTATAGATACTCTCAATTATGAACCAAGTGCATAAAGATAGAATTTGTTCAAGTTTATCATGTCAGTGTTTAAAAAGGCTGGGCCCCTCACCACATCCTCCTTAGTGGCTGTGGTGGGTCAACTGCCAGCTCCTTTAACACCCTGGTGTTCTTTCCCTTAAGAGCATGTGTGACGTCTAGTGTATCCATGGCCTAACTGCCGCAATCTGCAGCAGCTATTAAGTGCACCATGAGAAGTGGTAGGTTGAGTGGCTGTTGCATCACATTGTGCCAGCAGCCAGTAATTAATATACCAGGTAAATCAGCAAGTCCAGCTGCTGTGCCATCAAGCTGTGCTCCCTCCCAGTAATGAATGTGTCAGGTGTAGTGGCTGCTACCAAAAACCTACACCTAACTCCTAAACCCAACCCTCATCAGAATGTTACTGAACCAACTTTTACCAGGAATTTGTTAATAATTTAAGTATCTGCAGATCATCTATAGGGGACCATCAAGATAAAGTGTGACCACTACATTAAGTTGTGCCAGCTGCCAGTAATGACTGTGGAAGGTAATGTGGCAGGTCTAGTGGCTGGCATTACCCGATACAACCTCTCATATTTGCCCAAGCCAACACACAGAGATCTGTGTTCACACCTCCCAAACTTAATAAGTGGTACAGACTATGAGCAGGAAGCCCATGAGCAAGAGTATCAAAACCCCCTTTTTAAGTATGATTACTGAGTGATAATTTACTTGTGTACAAGTATTAATAAAGGACATTTTTAAAGTAAAAATAAATAAGTAGTTTATTGGAAAACTATTTGAGTAATTGAGTTAATTTCTTTGTATATCGGCAACCACTTATATGAAAAAAAAACACATCTGAACTGTGAGCTCTGCAAGGAACAAAGCTGACCTTAAACTACATGCATTTCATGGTTAGATGTTATATGAGGCTTCCTAAATTCCAACAAGGAAGTGCAGAATCCCTGAAAGGCTGTGCAGACAAGATAAGGTTTACTTGATTAAGAGTCAAAATTACAGGTAGATCACTCAACTAATAATGTCATTTTTAGTGAAAGCTCTGCTACCTGTCAGCTTCTTAGGCTCGTTTACATGAATAGGTGTCAACATTACATTCACAGCTTTCAAACTGTTTCATCTTCGCTGATGCAGTATGCTTCTCATGTCTAGTGCTGCCAATGACGACTTCTTTTTGTCTCTGCTAAACTGGATGTCTATGAACATTCTTGTTTCTCAGTCTTATAATGGTTTCACTTTCACTGGCACAACAGCAAAATCAGGCTACAAAAGGTGACCAAAGGCCTAGAATCAAGACTGGATGCTGAAAGCTCTCTTATCCTTGCACTAATGAATCAATTAAACACACGTGAGCAATCACAAACCCCTGTGAAGCTTTATGTCCCAAATAAGGCCTTAAAATTGGGAAGGGGGAGGAGGTTGTTGTCACATGATCTTATAGTCCAGGGTCAGCTCTAGCCTTTTGGGGGCCCTAAGCAAGATGTTCTGTAAAATTAGAGGCTAACTAATAACAGTGATTACATGCACTCAATAATCCGATCATAATCAGATTTGACTACTTAAATAGTCATGTAAAGGATTTCTTAGATCAGAGTAAGGTCTAGAAATCTGATTGAGAAATCTAATAAAGAGAGCTGGATTTTAGCTCAGTAATCAGATTTCTCAGTGCATATAAACTCTTATTTTGATTTCTTTCAGAATTCTCAGACTGCGCATGTGTGAAACAGATGGCGGTATGGAAAATAAACAAGCGGCGTCGCCACGAGACGGAGCAAAACACTTTTGTAGCGACAATGAAACCGACTACACGCTTGATGAAATCAAGGATTTAAATTTTCTTCATCCTCTAGATCATATATGTTCATATTTTAAGGTAAAGTGGCGCAATTTTAAAAGTCGCAGCATGAAGTTTGAGTTTTACGTCATGTCTTCTCCTGTGAGTTTATTGGCTGGATGTAAAGCATAAATCTGTTTCCTGAATGACTCATGTAGACCCGGAGTTTCCCCATTATCTGATCACTCAAGTGCATGTAAACACATTGATCGGATTACTGACTGGCATGGTCAGTCTAAGCCCGGCAGAGTAAACAAAGGTCGGAGAGCTCACTTGTTAAAAGAAGAAGGGGAGGAGGAGTCAGCAGAGGAAAGAGAAATGCACACAATTTACAGTATAGAAGAGCACAGCTTACACAGAGTAGCTCCAATCACAGAGAAGGTGAACATAAATGGAACTGAGGTAATATTCGAAATTGATAATGGCTGTGGAGTGACCGTGATAAATAGAGATCAGTACTCCCAGCTTTGGCAGAAGTCAAACATACCAGAGTTAGAAAGATGTAATCTGGTGCTAAAAACATACATAGGACAAAGAATTGAGGTACAGGGCAGGACAGAAGTGAGGGTACATCACAATAACCAGACAAAATCCCTCCCAGTGATTGTGGTTAACGGAACAGAACCAAACTTGCTGGGCAGAGATTGGTTACAGCAGTTAGCTATGGTGGTACAGCCAGTTAACCAAGTGGGCCCTGAGATGAAACTCACTCTGGAGGCAGTGTTGGAAAGGCACTCTGAAGTCTTCAAGGAGGAGCTGGGTCAGCTCTGAGGCACCAAGGCTCAAATACATGTAGATAAGGAAGCACTACCCAAATTCTACAAACCAAGGCCAGTGCCTTATGCCATGAAACCCTTGGTAGAAAAGGAACTCCAGCGACTCCTAGAAGAAAAAATAATAGAACCCGACACTTACTGTCACTTACCGTTTGGTGTGTCCTCGAGTCCTGCAATATTTCAGCGCACCATGGAGAGCATTTTGCAAGGCATTCCTCATGTAACAGGTATATCATCAAGGTATATAGTGAGTGGAAAGACAGAAACAGAACACCTCAACAACCTGGAGGAAGTACTGACACAACTGAAAGACAGTGGCCTCAGGCTCAAGCGAAGCAGTTTCCTGCACAAAAAGGTGGTGTTCCTAGGCTACAGGATAGATGCCACAGGCCTGCATCCGGTAGCTGAAAAGGTGCAAGCTATTCAAGAGGCACCCACACCTAGGAATGTGACAGAGTTAAAAGCTTTTTCTGTCTACGACCCTAGCGCCTCTGCACAAACCGTCGAGGAAAGACACTGGATGGAGTTGGGAAAGAGAGCAACAAGTAGCTTTTGAAAAAGCCAAGGCTCTCATGCAGACATCCGGATTTCTAGCACACTATGATGCCCGCAAAGAATTGCTGCTGGCGTGCGACGCATCCCCATACGGGGTGGGGGCTGTCCTATCCCACTGTATGCCAGATGGATCGGAGCGACCAATTGGATTTGTGTCTAGGACATTCAACACAGCAGAAAGAAACTACTCCCAGCTGGACAAAGAGGGTTTAGCTGTGGTCTTCGGTGTAAAAAAATTTCACAGCTATCTGTATGGGAGAAAGTTCACAATAATCACAAATCACAAGCCACTCCTTGCCTTATTTAATGAGCGAAAAGGAGTGCCTCAGATGGCCTCACCAAGGATCCAACGTTGGGCAGTTACTTTGCGAGCCTACGAATATACGATTGTATATAAAGCAGGCAAGGATCACAGCAACACAGATGCCCCTAGACTCCCGCTAAAAGTGACGGAGGAACCCCCGAGGGATGTAGAGAGAGTACTGTTATTAGATCATATGGATACACCTTTGCTGACAGCCAGAGTTACAGGAATGGACAGACAGAGACAAGGTAATGGCTTTGGTACGCGAGTATGTAGTGAGGGGTTGGCCAACAAAGATAACTGACCCTAACTTAGTGCCTTATGTACACCGTCGGGAAGAACTCAGTACCAGTGAGGGGTGTGTATTTTGGGGTTCTACAGTCATTGTTCCACCAGCGGGTAGAGAAGCAGTGTTGAAACAATTACATCAGTCACATCCCGGTATAACGCGAATGAAAGCACTGGTGCGCAGCTACCTCTGGTGGCCAAAGCTAGATGGTGATACTGAAGCTTTGGTGAGGGCTTGTCTTGTGTGTCAAGAAGACAGACCGCGCCCAGCAGTAGCACCCCTCCATCCCTGGGAATGGCCGGAACAGCAATGGAGGAGGGTACATGCAGACTATGCAGGACCCTTCATGGGAAAAATGTTCCTGATACTGATTGATGCCCATTCTAAATGGATGGATGCATATCCGCTCAACAGCTCCACCTCTGCTGTCACTGTAGAATGCTTGAGGAAGAGTTTCAGTCAGCATGGTATTCCTGAGATGCTAGTAACTGATAATGGGACATGCTTACTAGTAGTGAATTTGCAGAGTTTATGAGACGAAATGGCATTAACCATGTCACAACAGCTCCTTACCATGCTTCGTCTAATGGACTGGCAGAAAGGGCTGTACAGAC